TATCTGTTGATTAGGGCCGGAGGAAAGTATTGTTGGGTTGGTTTCCTACCTGCGTGTTCCCTCCCACCCACCCTTTGCATGCATTTTCCGGGTTGGTACAGTGACACGTCAACAGTACCACATCAACAATGACACGTCAGACACAGTGCCACGTCAGCAGTGCCACGTAAGCAGTGCCATGTCAGCAGTGCCACGTCAGACACAGTGCCACGTCAGCAGTGCCACGCCAGACACAGTGCCACGTCAGACACAGTGCCACGTCAGCAGTGCCACGTCAGCAGTGCCATGTCAGCAGTGCCACGTCAGACACAGTGCCACGTCAGCAGTGCCACGCCAGACACAGTGCCACATCAGACACAGTGCCACGTCAGCAGTGCCCCGCCACCATGACGGGCGCAGCTCTGGGCATGCCAGGCCAACTGGCCAACGAGACCATTGCCGACTWCAAAAAGCGTTTCCAGGCTCAGCTCGCTGCAATCGAGGYTGAGGAACAACGCCAGCTGGCAGCCAAGGCTGCCCAGCTACAGGCTGAAGAAGCGGCAACAGCAGAGAAGYTGCGGCTACAGGCCGAAGCAGACGCAGATACCCAGGCTCGCCGAAAGGAAGCCCAGGATCTGCTGCTGCGGCACKAAGCCAACAGCATCGACAGACTCAAGTACTGGCACTTTGAACCGAACGGCGACGAGCCAACACCGGAAGAGCAGCATAAGGAGTTCTTGGCCAAGCTCGTGGCCAGGCTGGTTTACACATGTAACCACCTGCAGTCCGAGCTGGCAAACCTTCAGCGGGTTGTGCGGAACCATAAGACTCAGCATGAGGATGCCACACGGGCACTGGATGCCCCTGTACTGGACCTGGAACAGGCTGTACCAGGACCAGCTGCTGGGGCTTCCAGCAGTGCATCCTCTAGCCGCCAACTGGAGGAACGCGTTGACCACGTAGTGGCAATGCTAGGAGACATAAGTACCTTCACAGAGCCGACCACCATCAGCCAAGATCAGTCAGCAACAGCAGACCGACCACAGCCACAACAACAGCTCGGCGAGGCCATACAAGATGCCGACGTTCCGGATCGAGAAATTTGATGACTACACACATCAAGACCCGGTCGTCTGGTGGCAAGGATGAACGGTTGTAGTCTATAGGTTCTGTCGGAAGTTGAAATTCGTTTTCAGGATGGTAGAGGCAGAAACTTTGTCCAAGTGGGACTCCTCTTGGTTGGGACTTGGTCACGACCTACATGGGACCCTTGGGACCCAGTGGGACCGGGCCCAAACAAGAAGAGTCCCTTGGACCCGAATCTGTTAGACATTAGTCCATTCTCTTTCTAACTAAGATCCAGAGTTTTATTCTTGTTGGTTAGGATACCCACTGCCGAGGGGATCTCGGCTGAGACGTTTTGCATGCATTTGGTTGCACCGTCCGTGGCTTGACTCACACCCTATACACCACTCAATTCTCCATTGTTGCATTTAGTCACTCATTGTCTGATTTGTTGTAAGGTCACGAAGCTGGTCAGATTGGACTCGAGAGGACCTCGTATGCAGTCTGATCAGACCAACTCGTTGGACTAGACCTCTCCTGCGAATTTGTTGTTTTGGTGTGGTTTGCTACTCTCTAGTCCAAATGTGATGCCGCTCCGGCTAGGAGTTCTACCTTCTCTGTCATTGAGCTTTTCAGTTTGTTTCTTTCTCTGAATTCATTTTTGATGCCCGTGGAGACTCGCAACCAGAAAGAAGAGAGAGAGAGGAGAGAGAGAGAAAGTGATCGTCTGGAGTGGGCAAAGACTGGGAAACGGAGTGTTCGTCAAAGCAAAAAGGGGAGTGTACCTCTTGAGAGTCTGATTCATTATTTTATTTATTGGCGTCTCTCTAATCCACCTGTCGACGAAAACGGTCCGAAAATAGCCCAGCCACGGCTAACCTCAGTCTAGTGGCGGGCCCTGTTGGATGCAGCCAGCGATGCGAAAAAAACGTATCTACCAGCACTCCTAGATCGTGCTATTAAAAGGGAACAAAAGACAGAGGAGGAGAGGAAGGAGTTGTTGCTCAAGGGTCAAGTGGCCATCTTGGAAACTGTTCCCTCGCTGACCGGAGAGCAGTGTGGGGAATAGCTGCAGTCCGTACTCACCGCTATCGTTCAAGTCCGGAACCGTGAAGATCATACCACTCAGATCGCCGAAGTCTTCGCAAAATTGCGGACACTTCAAGAGGATTTGACTGATATGACCAGCAAGTACCATGACTTGACGATGGAGATTGTTGAGCTGCGACAAGCCCAAGTGGCCAATCCTCTTCCTCTACCCCTAGTTCCGGAGCTGCGATTGTAACTAATCTTGCCCCTCTTACGGTATCTTCTTCTAATTATTGTTCTTCTTCTTCTTTGAGTGTGATGGCAAACCCCTCGGGACCTGCAACAGGTGCAGACTCCGCTGTTGCTATAACAAGCGACGAGGCAGGAAATTTTGCAACTCCTGCAGCCCCAAGATCGGAACCAGCAGGTGCTGGTCCCAGCTACGTCGGTCCCTATGTGGATCGAAAAGGCGGTGTAAATACCGTCTAAGTATGACGGCAAAGAAGACGTTGAATCCTGGATCAGGTCCATGAGGGCATACTTTGAGGTTCTGGGGACTCAACCTGAGACCCAGTCCGTGATAATGGGAATGAATGTCGAGTCTGTTGTACGGGGCTTCCTAGAAGTCCAAGCTACGCAAGCTGGGGTTCCAAAGATAAAACTAACAAGGTGGCTTAAGACCACCCCGGTTGCCTCCCTCAAAGAACTTCTTATCGCACAATATATGGATCCACATGTTGCAGCAAGGGCAAGGAACCAACTTGACAACATCAAACGCAGCAAGTGGTCGGGCTCCATGAAAAACCTTCAGACTTACCTCAGTAAGATGTTTGTCACCCCAGGATTAGAAATGACTGATCAATCTTGCTTGGATGTAGTGAAAGGCGCGGTTCTCACTAACTTTACCAATCGCCTAGGCAAGGACTTCATTGGGTACACTGAATGGTTCGCTTTAATGAAGGACATAGTTAGTCTCGAGGCTATAGACCTCGTTTCCACAGCAGGCAGCAAAAAGCCCATGGGCGGCAGGCAGTTAAGAAGCAGCAGCCGCTTTACTGTGCAAGACCTGTTGGAGGCTGAAGAGGAGGCCTATGCAGATGACCCCACTCTTGGTGACGACCAAGAACAGGACGCTGATACAGCCTGTTCCTCGTCAGCCCATGAGTCTGACGCAAATCATCAGGAAGAAAAATTCACTGCCTGCAAAAAGACTTTCCATAATAAGGGACCGAATCGGAATTCAGGGAAGAACTATGTCCAACTACCCAAGGGAGTCAAAATCCCGGCGAAACCGAGAGGACGCAGCCACTAAACCATGGGTTGACCTCCGGATCACTGAAAATGATTGGAGGGTTAGACTCAAGAAAGGGGTATGCCTGCATTGCTAGAAACCAAACCATAAAGTACAAGAATGTTATAGGCTGCAAGGAAACCAGAATCAGGCTTAGAGTTGACTTCGGCATCCTCTACGGCAAGAGAGACTGAATCTGATGCAAATCAACAGTCCTCCCTTGAAGCCCAATCATCTGCTGATTCCAAGGCTGAAGTGTGCCATGCTTTGTATGTCGAGCCTTGGGAGGAATCTGAGACGGTTGACTACCACTTGGAGCATTGGGCTGAGATGAAACATCAGCGTGCCCAAGGGACAATGAAGCTGATTTTCTTCAAACTTCTCATAAACCACCGTTATCTCCGTGTCTTGATTGATTGTGGGGCGACTAATAACTTTATGTCACCACACGGGATACGCAAAGTGGGCTTGGGAATGAAGCAAGTGGCTTTGCAGAACCCTTGTCGGACCCACGTAGGCAACAAGGAAGTTATCTCCTCTACGCAGGCAGTCAAAGGTGTGCGCACTACCTTTGACAAGGACAAAACCGTCACCCATGCTTTGAAATTCTATGTCCTTGAACTTCTATGTCCTTGGCTTGGGCTGGTTACAGTCCCAATGCGAATGGACCAAGTGGAAGGAGTCACTTTTTATGGTCAAAGATGCTCAAGGGAACGAGCTTCCCGTCCTCTTGGATGAGAAGTGCGAGTCCCCAGTGACTTTTCTGAATGCCATGCAGTTCTGCAAGAAATGGCTCAAGCACAAGGAGGATGAACAATTGTATGTTGCCTTTGTTCGTCCTACTCATGTGCCATCTACTTTTGCGGCTAGTACCAATACTACTTCATCTAGTGATTCTACTTCTAGCCCCTCTATTTCTTTACCTACCCCTAATCTAAATGATTCTAATTCGGATTTCGTTGCATCCATTTGCAACCTGCGACCTTATCTAGGTGATCCCTTTGATGACCCTTCACCCCCACCGGTCCCAACAAACATCCAAAACCTACTTGATCGGTTCCCAAAAGTTCTGGCCAAACCACGTGGAGTTCCCACACGATCGGTCCGATACACCATCGAGTTGGTCGAAGGTGTTGTTCCTCCAAAGGGCTGCGTATACCGAATGAGATGCGACGAGTTGGAGGAAATCCGTCGACAGATTGATGAAATGATTGACAAGGGTTGGATCAAGCCTAGTGAGTCTGAATTTGGTGCCCCTGTTTTGTTTGTCCCAAAGAAATGAGGCAAACTCCACATATGTATTGACTATCGTGGTCTAAACCGCATCACAAGAAATAACACCTATCCATTGCCTCACATAGATGACTTGCTTGATGCTGCAGGTAGATGCAAGGTCTTCTCCAAGATCTACCTCAAGTCTGGCTATCACCAGATTGAAGTCAATCCTGCAAACCAGCATAAGACTGCGTTCAAAACACGCGATGGGCTGTACGAGTTTACCGTAATGCCCTTCGGTCTCACGAACGCACCGGCCACCTTTCAAAGCCTCATGGACAAGGTCCTCCGCGAACAGATTGGTCGGTTCGTGGTGGTATACCTTGATGATATACTGATCTTCAGCAAATCCATGGAGGAACATGTAAAGCACCTTGAGGAAGTGTTCACCATCCTTAAGAAAACGCAACTCCATCTCAACTTAGAGAAATATGAGTTTGGGAGGGATAGCGTCATCTATCTTGGTCATCAGTTGTCTGGTGCAGGCTTAGAGCCTGAGGCAACCAAGGTTGAAGTCATACGCAATTGGCCTCAACCCGTGAACATCTGCAAACTGCGCTCTTTCCTTGGTCTCGTGTCGTACTACTGGAAGTTTGTGCCCCACTTCTCTATTTGTTGCTCGCCCGTTGTCCTGGTTAACAAGTAAAAATGTTCCCTACTCTGGGGACACAACATGCAAGGACGCCTTTCAAACTTTGAAAGAAGCTTTGGTGAGTTACCCTGTACTCCGCATGACAAATTCCAAACTCACATTCGTAGTTACTACGGATGCAAGCCAGTATGGAATTGGCGCAGTGCTGCAACAAGATGACGATGATGGCTTGCAGCCACTCGAATTCTACAGCAAACGCATGCCCAGCGTAAAGGTAGCCACTTCCACCTACATGCGCGAGCTCTATGCTTTGCGCATGGCCTTAGACCATTGGAAACACTATCTTTTGGGGCGCCACTTCAAAGTGTTCTTAGATCATGAGACTTTGAAATGGATCAAAGAGCAAACTACCCTGTCCCCTACTTTACTTCACTGATTCCATGAAATTGACATTTTCGACTTTGAGTTAAGGCACAAAAAGGGTTGTTATAATCGAGTCGCTGACACATTGTCTCGCCACCCTGAGTACATGACTTGCCTTGTGAATTCCTACGACCTCCGGAAGAAATTGAAGGAGGAGATCGTAGAGCACACTGCCAAGGATCCGGACCTTAGTCCCATCCTTGAGCAGTTGCGGGCTGACCCCAACAGTCAACCTGATTTTCACGAGTATGGAGGACTGATTTTTCGTCGCTACGGGAATCACAACCGTTTGTGCGTGCCCAACCATGAGCCTCTACGCACGCACTTTCTGGATTTGGCTCATGGCCGAAGTGGACACTTCGGCATGGCAAACACATACGAGACAGTTTGATTGGCCTGACATGAAGGGATTTGCTGAAAAGTTTGTGGTTGAATGTCAAGTATGCCAACGAATCAAACCATGTAGACAAAAGCCCATGGGGCTACTAACACCCCTTCCCATTCCCGATGGTTCTGGGGAGTTTGTCTCTATCGACTTCACCGACATGGGTAAGGTAAGTAAGAACGGCTATTCACAAGTCATGGTGATTGTTGACCGCTTCTCAAAATTTCTTAATCTCATTTCTTTGCCATCTCATACTCCAACTGAATTGGTGATCCGTGAGTTCAAGTAGAAGTACATTCTGCAGTTCGGAACCCCGAAAACTCTCGTGAGTGATCGGGACCCTCGCTTCATCAGTACAGAATGGAAAGACTTCACGACCCAACTCCTTGGCCTCAGGCTATGCATGACATCTGACCCACATCCCGAAGCCAACGGATTGGCTGAGGAAATCAACCAGACCGTGTTCCAACTTCTCCGCGCTTTAATCATTCCGGATCAGGAAACATGGGATGAAGAGTTGTATTCCGTCAAGGGGTTGTACAACAACTTCATGCATTCTGCCACTGGCATGACACCAAACAGGCTGCATTACGGTTGGCAGATTCTTAATTCGCTCTCCTACCTATTCCCTGAGCAGCCAACTAGTTTAACACCCGGCAGCCCTGGCTTCGGGGCCAAGTACGATCGCTTGCTCAAAGTTGCCATCACAGCAATGACCAAGCGACAACACGCCATGATCCATCATGCAAACAAAAAGCGTCGACCTTCAGATATCGAGGTGGGAAGTTATGTCTGGGTCAAGATGTCTGAGTTTTAAGAAGAAGAGGGAGTATCACGCAAACTTCTCCCACTCCATTATGGTCCATGGGAAGTTCTGGATGTGATTGGCGAAGATAAATTTGGCCCTTCATATGTGGTTGTTGTGCCACCTCATCTGCGCACGTACCCCGTTTTTCATGCATCAAAATTGTATCTCCACCGTGATGCTAAATCGTTCGATTAACGTCAAGACATGATTCTTCGTGCAATCAATGGCGGACATGAGATAGACAGAATTAAACAGCACGTAGGGAATGGATGCAACAGACAGTACCAGGTTCATTTCATGTACCACCCGTTGGATGATCTATACTGGATTTCCAAGTAGGAACTGCTGCGTAGCGCACCTCGCGTTGTTAAAGCCTACGAGCGACAAATCGCCTCTAATGATGAACCTAAAATTTCTGCCAAGCTCACTGCGACCGAGTATTCTCGAAATCTCTTTGCCTTGTTTGCCTACGATGAGTTTGTCGGGGACTCAAAATGAGTTGCTCGCTCGAAGGGACCTCGCTCTCGAGGGGGGAGTAGTGTGATGACCCGACCAAACAGGCACTGAAACACACAGCTGATTTCTGAGTTTTGCTCATAGACTGAATGCCTTGCTGAGTTCCCCGCTTGCTACTAAGTTCTCTAGGTCTGTTTGTATGCACGCTTGCTGGACTGCATGCCTGTCTGAGTGCTGGTTGGCTCGAGTGTGTGTGTGGCCCGCAAAGGCACTTGTTCGTTCTTTGGGCCCTCAGGGCCGGTACTTACCTGTGGCCGTGACATTGAGGGCTTGCAGCGGGGGGAAACACTCAAGTAGCAGGTAGGCCGGTACCGCACCCTGAAGAGGTAGATGTGCGGGTACTGGAGGCCGAGCAGAAGAAGACAAAGGTGGCATTTTGAAGAGGCCCAATAGTTGTAGGCTAGGTCTAGGCGGGTACCAGTCCAACCAGTCTGAGTCTAGGGCCTGTACGGGCAATATCAGAATCTGCAATGATGTTTCCCTCCGAAAGGGAGGAGGTACCGGTTGCTTGGGAAGGCTGAGCGGCCTGGAAGTCACCGCCCAAGAGGCAAGCACGCCGCTATATCTCCAGGCCGGGGGAAGATCCCAGTCTCATTGTCGGTGTGCAAGTTTGGCGACACACTGGTTGGGGTGCTGGCTGGAGCAGCGCTAGCTTGGAGCAGCGCTGCTGGGGAAGAAGCAAGGACTCGGAGGAGGAAGAAGGACAGGAAGGGGGAGGAGCGCCAGAGGTACTGACCTGGCTATGGTGGCGGCCATCTTCATCACCTTGGTGGGCGCTGCAGCAGGAAAGCCCCAGCGGGGGTTGAGCTACACCAAGAAGCTTCGAGGCAGAGTCAGGCATGGCGGCCTGAGCTAGGGCAGCCATAGCTGCTTTGGGTTGTCCTTTGGACATCTGGGCAAAGCCTAGTAGTCCGCCATAGCCTCGGCCTATGAGAGTAAAGAGTGGGAGAGGCGGCCATGGCTATGGTGGACCTCAAGTGACACCTGCAGTAGAAGAGGGATTCAGACTTTGATTCTGGTTCAGCTATTCAACATTGTATTATTATTTCTTGTGCGAATAAGAGAGGAGGAGATAAGGAGGAAGGAAGAGTTGAGCGAAGAAGAAGAGCTTTATCATCTGTCTATATTGGTGTACATCATCTTCTTCTTCTTTCTTACTTCTTCTTCTTCTTCTTCTTACCCTCTCTCTCCTCTCCAGTTCATTCATTTCTTTCTGCAAAGGGACAGCATTGTCCTATTTGATGAATGTGTATCTCGAAATTGGCCAGGATCATAACACCTTTATTATAATATTCACGTGCCTGTTTCGCGTGTACTACGATTCAATGGCTGTGTGTCTGCCTTGTCTCCTTCTCCATCTCCTTTTCTGGATCTCCCTCTGGTGAGTCTGGTCCCAAAATGCATGTGTCCTGTGTTTACTTGCTCTTTTGGGCTCTCTTAATTTTCATTCAGCCATCACATCCGCGCAGACTACACATGTGTCTCCCTTTCATTTCATAAGTTGTGTGTCCTCATATCATCTGGATCCCATTTTTTTCTTTTTCTTTTTTTTTCTGAACATGAGAAGAAAGGAAATGTTACGGAGAGGCATATGGCCCAGGATGACAAGTTTGAGTTGGCACTACCGAAAGTGATTGGGTGAACTGAAAACTTTAGAGGTAAAGTTACGGAGACCCGAGGACTGAAATATCATCTTGAGGGAATCAGAGGGGAACATGGACCCTAACCATGCATGTGGCGCATCGACATGCGCTGCACCGCGCATGTGCGCCGCACCGCGCAGTGCGCACAACGCGCGCGCATCGCATGCGGCGCACTCTGGAATCAGGGGGTAAGCTAAAAAAAACGAAAGTTGGGGGGGGGGGGGTTGGGTTGCAAGGCCGGTAGGCACTTCGGGCCGCCGGTTAATAGAAAAAGAAGAAAAAAAATTGAGGGCGTGCAGGGCCCCGCAAAAACGAAAGGGCGGGGAAATCCAAGTAGTTCGTTTTTGAAGTACTCGGCCCTGCCCCCCGCCGGCCCCACCCCGTTAGTCAGCCTCAGCCCTGCCCCGCACCGTGTGTCCCCCTCGCCGCTGTTGTCATCGTCTTCTCTCGTGTGTTGGAGCTGGAAGCAGCCCCCCACGTCGTCGTTCAGCCACACCCTGCAGCTTCGAACAGCAGGAGGCAGCGAGGAGCCGAGGGTTGGAGCAGCGGGAGGATCCGAAGGAAGCAGCCGAATCCAGGTGGGTTACCACCAGCCCCTTCCCCCCCCCCCCCCCCCCCCCCCCCCCCCCC